TTTAAAACAACTTGCCTTTTTCTGCGTCAAAACACTCTGCGGCCGCGGTACTGCACACGTCGTTGGGTAGCAGAGACCGTGGAGCAGACGACACGGCGTGACGACGCTTGCTCCGCCGATCCGTCCGTCCGCGCGGTCGGCGAGGTCGTGCGGTGACGTTCGTACCACGTGGGTTGTCCCAGACTATGACGACGCGGGGCCAATGTTGCCAGGCCCGGGCGCAGTTTCGGTTTCGGTTCGTGATCAGGAGTAAAGAAGGATTACGAGAATTATATTTCCTTTTTTGAGAAACAAACGACGTCGAGCCGTTTATTAGTATACCTTAGTGTATAATCACCAAAAACCCCGAAATTCCTGGAATTGAGCGGAGTTGTCCTTTAAGTCTCTACATATCAAATCTTCTGTCTGAAACCTGTCCAGCCCATCTCTTTCTCTTTCCGATCGAGAGTTTTGCTTCCGGCGGGGCGAGAGGGTTCCTCCAAATACATAAAAAAACCAAATTCCTGTATCTTCTGCTCCTTTCTCTTCTCCGCGCCTCCCCCCCCCCCCCTTTCCCTTCCTTCCCCAAGAGGGCACCACTGCCGCATCTTCTCCTCCTCCTCCTCCTCTTCTTCGCGCCCTTCCCCCCTGCTCCCCTCTTTCCCCAAGAGGGCACCGTCGACACTCGGGCCTGCGTGTAACGGCGACGTGTCGATTGACACACAGCAGACCCCACTTTCCGCCGTGCACGCGTACCTGCGATATGGTGGCTAGAGAGTTGGGTGTGTCGAGCGGCGGCCGGCGCGCGGCACCAAAAGGAAATCTGTCGCCAGGAGGCGCCTCGGAAGCCCTGTATGCTATCCGACCACGGCGTCAGCGGCATTTTGGCTGCGCTGGGGCCGAAATGCGCTGCGTGCGGACCTTTTCCCGGCCACTTGTCGGCTGTGTTTTTTTACAAAATTAATTGGTGTGGCATAATGCAAGTGTGATAAACCTGGATTCCATAGTCGACCCGATTTTGGAGCGTCGACGAAGGTAAATCCGCACTTGAAGTCGTTCTCTTCTTACCGCAACGCTCTCGGGGTAATATAAAAAATGGGGAAATTTTTTTATTTTTTTTTACTTTCGCTTGTGTACTATTTTTTCAAAATACGTGAAACGTCCGCCGAGGTATCAGCAGCCGTGACGAAATTTCGCGTTTCAAGCCGCTGTGTTAAGTCTATCGAATGAATCCACGCGGAACGGCTCAGGCATTTTAACATTAAAATAGGTGTGAGGACGCTGGATACTTCTGGAGCAATTCCCCTGTGATTCAAGAGCAGACATGGCTGTCGAGAAACAACGCGAAAAGTTGTCATGACACAAAGCACACAATGCATTTTTGGCACTTTACATGTTTATGCAACGTGGAAAACTAGCAATGAAATACAAAATCGATTTTGAAAGAGAGTGAGCGAAGTAACATATTATGCATCATAGGGTGTTTATAACAAAAATCGGCGGATGTTTATCGGCGTTTATTTATTTCACCGATACCGGTGCTTTTTGGTGAATTCTCTCATGCAGACGCTAAAAACGGGGATCATCGGGGGCGGGGGCGGGGGAGGGGGGGGGGGGGGAATTGCGAATGCAAACTACCGCTGAAGACGAGAAACATTCCAAATTTTATTTACGTTTTTTACACAACCTCTTTCACACAGGATTATTGTTGTATATGCATGCATACATTCCTAGGCTCGTGTCTGTCACTGACGCGAAAGGTCACCGTTGGGTAAAATACATCTAAAAGATACTTCAGGTAATTAAAGTACAAAGTAAATGAGACGTGATGTACTTTAAGTAAATTTGTATGAAATACACTGGGAACAACGTACTTGAAGTAAAGAATCTAAGAACAATGTACTTTCAAAGTAAAGTACAAGTATTTTAACACAATCTTTCATGATGCCCTTTCATTCCCCTATACAGTGATTTTTTTTTTTAAATTGGTATGCATTGCCCAAGGGTAATCAATGGTGCAATGCCTCAAAAACAGCGGCGAATATTTGATAAAGTCAAGTAACCACAGAGTAATTTTTTTTTTTGGGGGGGAATGGAGCCGAATTTAGAAGACCCTCTTCTGAATTTGGCACCCCTTGCACTGGATTGTAGCACCCAAGGGGGTTAAATGTAATAGGACGGAGCATGACGTCAGCCCCATAGCTCTCATAGAAAAATGTCCTCTTCTTAATAAAAAGAAAAAAAAAAATGCGTGTGCAAGCGAGCTGGTGATAATTATTCATAACGTGACACCTGAGATTTGGGTGCGAAAAAAATTAAGGAACTTTCAAATAGAAGAAAAAGACAAAAGAGAATGTCTTAACACTTGATGTAGTCCTCCTCTGTTGTCTTTTACTTCGACTTGAAAATTTAATTTTTTCGCACCAGTCTCAGGTGCTACATTATGATTAATTTTGCTCTCCTGATATCTTAAACCTCGTTGCTTGCGCTGACCGACAGAGAAGTAGCGAGAGTTTAAAAAGCTACGGGAACGCCGCCCCCAAAACAAACGGAGCGATGCCTCGTCTGCTCACGTTTCTGGTGAGAGTAGAATATCCCTCCCTGTATTTCTTCGGAGTTCACAAAGCGCGTCATTTCGTGATACAAATTTAACAAAACCAAATTCGGGGAATGTGCCTTGAAGTCGGGAACTGTACTTTCCTCGGGAAGTAGCAGAAAAAAAAAGTACAGTACATACTCAGAGAATGTACTTCAAGTAAAGTACAAGTTTCCTAAATCTAATTTAAGTGCATTGTACTTTAAGTACAATGTACTTAAAGTACTTCCCAACGCTTGCCGCAGACGTGTTCAGCAGGACGCTACGAGCCCCAAAACATCACTCATACAGCGATATCTCGAACGGATCGAGCGATACTTTAGAGAAGTATCGCTTGATGTACCGCTCGTCGAAGTGAAGTGCGCACACCACAGAGTTTTCCTGAAGATGCGTGTCTCCCCTCGAAATATTCCTGTCCCACTGAGAGAAGAGGACTGGGCCCTTCGGGACGGTGAACAACGTGTGTTTTTAATTTGCAGACCTGTAGCCTGTCGTGCATCCTGGAACGAAGCAGTGCTTCGCTCTCTGCTTTTTCTTTACGCCGGAGGTTGACGGGGCAATGTCCATGGTCTCCGCGTGTCACCTGACTGACGGGCATGCAGGAACGGTTGAAATAAATTCTCACGAGCGCTGAAGACTGATGAAAGCGGGCGTGAATTCGTCGCTACCCGCCTTGCCGCACGGAAATCAGTGCGCCAGCTGCGCGCGCCTAGCATACAGGCTGACTAGAGCGCCCCTGACGGTGATTTTCCAAACCGGCCGCGGCGATGCATGGGAGAGCCGGCGCGCTCGACACACCCAACTCTCTAGCCACCCTACCTGCGAGCAGGGCCACATGGTTAACGCTTCCCTTACCCACCACCGTGCCTCTCAACCTCCCGTAGGTTTCACTGCCTGGTTGTTCGGTGGTCACCTCGCTCCCCGAGGACATGACAGAGTTAGGCTATATTGCTGGTTGTGTATGCAGGTTTCACCCGGCAGCTTGGGCCTATATCGCCAAACATGTTCCAGAATTAGGTTTCACTCCGGGTTGTTTGGCTGATACTTAGCATTTTTGGCTCATTTCTGTCACTTCAGCAATGGAGTGGCACACCAGAGAAAAAGCAGAAGAAATGTTTTGTTCATAAGCACTAACTAACGCGCTAGGAACGAAACATTATTCGGCCCAAGTTAAGCTGCCAAGGTTACCAAACTTGAGTGAAGTTCGGTATTTCTCTGGCGTGCTCCCTGGGTAAGGACCTAAAAATACCTATTTTATAAAAAAAAAAAAAAAAAACTGACGTGTGCGTATCATGTAAACAAAATGTTTGAATACAGTTGGCTGTCAAATTTGTAGAAATCTTCCGCGAGACACGGCTTACCCTGCCGACACTCTTCACTGAAATTACATTCGACTGATCAAGAAACGGAGACCAGATGTAATGTTTTGAAGCTTGACAATAGCTATTGCACGGCACCCTGTTAACTACCATAGGAAGGCATAATATTTAAACATTCTGCCATAACGATAATGCCTCAATTTAAATTGCACCAACCGAATAAGAAAACAACATACATATTGTACCTTCCTTGTCGAAAGATCATTAGCAGATTTTCTAGTCTCGCTCCTTTCTAACAATGTTCGATGTTAGATGAAAGCGCTCGGGCAAAAAACACCCATATCGTTGTGATGAAACCTTAGGTTCTCACAGATTCAGATCGCAAGATTGAGCGATCATGAAGGCCGACAAAGAGCATTTTTACAACAACGCGTCTGACTCCTCAATAAAAATGGAATAAACCATCATAACTGGGAGGTGAAGTTACAAAACTTTTTTGATTGCTCAATTTGGTTTGACCCAATTAGTAGAAAAAAAGTAAATACGACTTACAAAAATATAAGTGACAAATATGTTGGAACGCAAACCAGTTGTAAATATACTATGTGTAAACCCGACAATGTTCCGTGCTATACTAAGAGTACATATCCTTAAGTTTGAAGTCTTTAAATATATTAGTGTATTTTAACTTCCTAATTAGGAAATGAAAAACATGTCTAGTATAGCTGAAACATCACCTTTTCCCATTGCTTCTGATAGAATAACTTATCTTGAAGGAAATATAATATTCCCACATCTGATACACTTAGAGAACAGCAACGGATCGGAAAGTGGCACAAAATCTAATTTTAATTAAAAAAAAAACAAAAAAAAACTTTTGAGGATGTTGAAGGCGAAATAGGTTTAGTGATAGCAAAGTACGAGCTATATATCTATTGTTTAAATAATTATGCAAAAAAGTCAATTCTATGTTACTTCCCCACTTGCATAATGTTGACAAGCGTAAAAAGTGAGTGTGCAACATTTAAACGATCTAAAAAAAAAACTCGAAAGTGCACATCTTTATAGAGTTGTTTGTGCCAATAAACTCTAGCGTTTACTTACAGGCACTGGAAAACACCGATAATAAATCTTGGATGTTCTATCGAACATTAAGGAGGTCGCCGCCGCGTTCTGAACACACGTGCGTGTATGCAGACGTGAAAGGGAAGGAATCAGATGGAAAGTCTTACAAATTTGTGCAGGGTTATAAAAACGGAGATGGAAGCCAAACGTAAGATATTTATAATTACTAGTTATCGGATAATATCATAAATATTAACAACGGCTCATTTTTATTTTACTTTAGGACACAAACACTGTATGCATTTCCTTATCAGACAGAGAACTGGGAAGGTAAAAACCGTTCAAAAGAGAATGCCATGCGTGTAAAACAAAATAAAGGTAAGAACACTTATTTCCTACGCAAGTTTCTTTGTAGAATTATGATGCAAGCCTGATCTTTATTTCATTATATTATTTTGTATTCAATCGCCATCATGGGAAACAAATGTAAGCTTGTTCTTCATAATTGTAAGCAATTGCGGCCGCACTATGTCAGGGGAAATTAATTGATGAACAACCGGACGGTGGCTAAGACTCAGAGTCAGGCGCCACTGTTTATTTATAAAGATTGCTGCGTGCGAGTAATCCCCAGCTTCATCGATAGTCGAGATTAAACAAAATGTGGTGACAAGTTATATTTAAATAAAGAGACGCGCGTCAAAATATATGAGACATTGGATACTGGTGATATAAAACTAAAATTAGATAGATACTTCGCATTAAGAAGTGGAATTATCAAGAACTTAATTTTGTTTTAAGAAATATAAACAACTTTTGGAGAGCCTTTTTTTTTTTCTTAGAAAACAGAAGGAATTTGAAAATTACACGTTCAGCGAGGGCATATGATTGAAAGCAGTTTTTTTTACGAACTCCTATTATTGTAATTTTTTAACAACAAAAAAAGGATAATTCACGTCTGCTATATTGTAGCATTCCGCCGGTGTCATATATAAACATCATATGTGTCGTCATTAGTATATAAACATTGATATCATTTTTACAGTGCCAAACTAGAAAGTGCGTCGGGCACGCCCCGGTGAAGCCTGTGAATTCACTTAAACAAGCTAGGGCCATCAAAAAGACTTCTTGTCGACGTGTCGCCGTTTCGGCACTACAGAGAAAGCCTGTCCTATGGCGAAGGTTTTCTGTTTTATGGAACTCTCTTCTTACTACGTTCCTGACTTGAATGAAGTGACCGTCATATCTCGTTTTCACGGTGCCATACTTCTTGGCATCGGCGTCGGATAAACCGAAGGTTTTGGAAATTTGCCTATCCTGGCGATTTATGGCGTAGAAAAGCACTCGTACATCGGTTTTCTCTTGTTTTGTTGACTTGTACTATGTTATGTCAGTGTCGTCCCCTTATAACGAAGAAGACGTTTTCACGCGAGAAACAGAAGTGCCCGCGGCTTTGGGCGATGCAACGACGGCGGTCCACGCGCGAGCGCTCGTAGAGTAAAGAATACTCTTTCACCTACATCAGCGTCAAACTTCCCCAACACCTTCAGGACATGTCCATTGAGCCCCGAAAGGACTTCTTCTGCTGAGCGCAGGCCAGATTACGTTATTCCTGAAAATAAATCAGAGACAGCCGAGACCTCCGCACCGGTGTCGATCTTCGCGGTCAGTGGGTCCCGAAATCAGGACATGTCCACTAGTCACACGTCGTTGTTGACTTGACCAGGAGCCAGAAAATCCGCGATACCCCGGGCCCTAAAGAAGTCCAGCCGAACTCCTCATGGGTTGACGTCTTCGGACACGGGTCCCGGTGTACCGAGATCTTCTGGCTTCTGGTCAAGTCAATAACAATGTTGGGACTAGGCGCGACCGTCAGGCCAAAGAGCGCCGAATGGCACACTACCTAAACTTGGCCCCAGATCGACTGTGCGGTTGAAGGACCTCAAGTGTCCAGGGGAGGTCGTCCGCCAAGCGGGCACATCCAGGTCTTATTGGGTCAGAACCACAATAAGAGACGTCCGTCACAACTGAAGAGCCCTCAGCAACCTCCGGTCTCACCCGGGGAGTGCGTCACGGAGCTCCCACCAACATTGCTACAGGCTTCGTTGGTCCCAAACATCGAGGCATGGCTGCAGAGTACCCGTGACAGTCTCGAGGGCTGGAGGAGGAGTGTTTGCCCCCCAGCGGTTTGGCGAATAATTACAGACTACTCGAAACTCTAGTTTACCCCCAAAGAATGATGTGGCCTGAGTCTCTTATGATTTTACCGCTTACTATAAGCGAGGAACGCACAAAGTAGCACGTGCAATGGGGTCCGTTGTAGAGCGGGGCGACGAGGTTCATAAACTTTATTTTTGTTTGTTTTGTCAAGCTTTTAGCCGCGCTGTCTTGTCTCTTCTTCGTCCTCGTCTAAGAGCGCTACCATGCCCTTGCAGCGCTTTTAGACGAGGACGAAGAAGAGCCAAGACAGACACGAGCGCTGTCTTGTCTCTTCTTCGTCCTCGTCTAAGAGCGCTACCATGCCCTTGACAACCCAACAGCAACTGGCCCAGCATTCAGCATTGTTTGTTTTGACACGGGGTCAGTCGTACTTCTTTCTGGTGCCACTGAGCACTGACGCAGTAAATGGCGGTCCAAACCAAGTTGTAAGACGGGCGCGCAAGAATGAAGGGTGGTCAAAACCAACCCCTAAAACGGGCGAAAACGACTCCCGGAGAAATTCAGGGGGAGAGGAGTGACGTCAACGGTCACATGAACGTAGCGCTTTGCGGGTCCCGCTTTGCGGGTCCATATTCGAATATATTAAACTTTGAGCGCCGGACCCGCTAACCTTGAGCGGGATGGTGTGGGGGGGGGGGGGGGGGGGGGGGGGGCGCTAATTGAGCGCCTCCTTCCGGAGCCACTCAAATATCTCACAAAGGCAACACCACCTAGACTCAAGGCCTGAGCGCTCCTTTGTCACCGAAGGAGGCGATCGGGTCGGGCCGGGCGCCCTTACAATAGCGCTGATATAAAGGCATTGTGCGTAAATATGCCGTCGTAAAAACAAGTTTCTATTGATACAAACCCGTTTTATTCTCTCTAAAGTAGTTTAGAGATAACAGACGGTCTAGTAAACAAATATTCTTCACGGGTAGCGATGGGGCACCGGGGAACAGATCAAGCATGTACGCATTGCGAGTGGAGTATAATTCGTAGCAACCAACTTCTTTTTTTCAACGCAGACGTGTTTTATTTCCTAGAATTATAGTTACGCACAGCAGTTAAGCTAGAAAGGTGTACAAACGCAAAGTATTGGGGCAGAGAAATGTGACGGCGCCGTGCATTACCGTCTTTAGGGTTCAGACAGGGCGGAGGAATTCACAACACTGATCGCAGGGTTAACTTTTTATGCATATCTTCAAATTAATAAAACATTAATCAGGCTTTGATTATACAGGGCTCACATGTCCTGCTTTGCATCTCTAGGGAGGCTTGCGCTGCTCGCAGGGGTTCCGCAGCAGTCCCGGCTTTTAGGCGACGTCCTTCTTCCGTCTATAACTGTATCTCTTGCGTCGTCTCGCCTCTAGCGGGGACCCCTCTCCAGCGGCCTTGCGTCTTGGGAGTCCTTCTCCGAACTCCGCACTTTCTCAACATCCCATGTGTCGGCGTCCTTCCCTCGTGCTGCGAACTGCTTTTTTTCGGGCTTCCCTCGACGCGACCACGCCAGCAACTGTCTCTTCCTTCAGCAGTTCATCCTTCCCCTCTCCCCGATTCCACAAAGTCGACGTCACCACCATCCCGAAACCCCCGGTCTGCAAATGGGTCCGTCCCGTCTGCCAGAGTGTCTGGACCCGCAGCTGCAAGCCGTTACGGGACCGAGGAGGAGCTGGACATCCGACACCTAACTCGGGCGGCGCTCCGGCGGCGGTAGTGCGACTTGTCCCTCGGCGGGGAGCTGGGGGAGGCAAGCAGGAATGCCGTTGTGGAAGCCTCCAGAATAGAGCCAGCACAAGAGTTCAGCTTGCCAGCGAGTCTGGAACTGCACCTGCAAGCTGTTATCGGCTGCGAGAAGCAACGGGACGTTGGACACCCCTCGGGCAGCACTCGGTCACTGGTGGTGTGACCCCTCCCCAACTCGACGAGGTGGGCGAGGCCAGCTGGAATGCCGTGTTCGGAAGTCCCCCAAATTAAGTCAAGACGAGACACAGAACATCACAGAAACATTGAGGCCTAGTGTAAGAACAACACGTGTACAACGATGCCTCGGGAAAGATATGTTTGCATTGAAGAAAACTTCTTTTGTAATATAAATATCACTCTGAAACGACAGATGAACCGTCGACGGCCGAAGCAAGGACACGTGCAGGGAAGATTATGGAGAAGGGAACAATAAGACGGGCTAAAAGCCGAGATACGGAAAAGAAAGAAATTGCGAGACGGAACGTCAGCGTTCGGCCGTTGGTCCGCCACCCTCTGGGTTCGTCTCGGCTTTTCAAGAACGGGAACTCAATCGTCCCTACCTCTAACTGGGCAGAGTTGGCCAGAAATACTCAGAAATGTATCTGGAAATACAGATATTGATATACATTAAAATAGCAGCTAAAATAATGATACTAAAGTATATCTGCAAAAATGTATCGCGACACGTATCGGAAATACATTTTAAATAGAGGCAAAAAGTATTTGGAAATACAAATACAGGAATACATTTCAGAGAGGGCAGAAATAGAATTACAGAAATACTGATAGTGCAATACATTTTTCAAATTTGTTTGAGACGCCAACTAAGGTGAGCTTGAAATTTGAAGCGGAAGTTTTTGATCCGGAAATTACTTTCCCGAAGACTTGGCACTTTGCCCCGAAGGTAGTGGTTTCGGACGACGAGGAGTCTTCAATGGGCTCATGAAAACGTTCCATCAAGGACTGACGGCGGTCCCTTACCTGACATCCTGCCTGACGAGGGATGCGAAAAGACTTCGACCTCTAAATAAAGTCTATGTCAACCTAAATCCCATCGAAACGTCACCACGCCCCTGTCCCATAAGGACGCCCCCTGTCAACATTGATCACATGACGTCACGGTGGAATGAACTGGTATTCTTTATTTGTAAGTGTGGCCTAGAACATGATTTTACCACGCTGCTGTATGAAACCACAATACGTACTTTCGTTGTAGGATATCTCGTTGAAGATCGTACAGGCAGTGTCATTTAGAATGTTCGAGAATAGTGGACCTCCTGAAGCATCCTGGGAACATACGTCTTATCTTCTGTTACGGTTGAAAAAACGATACGGCGGCATCCCTGTTGTGAAGGTCCTTTCTGCCGACCCTTCACCGCCAGCGCCGGCGCATGGATTGCAGTCCTCAAGTTTCACCTAGCATCATCCAAACAGAGACC